GGTGGCATTGTGCTCTAGCCGGTCATGCTTGTCGGTGGAAAATTTATTGGCATACAAGTCATTGGACTTTAACTGTACTTCAGAAAATAGAAAATTACACTTTGACTCCCTCAATTATAATCCTTCTTTCACATTACTTTCTCAACTATCACAATTTTCACATTACACTTTTAATTACGTGATTAGTTTCACATCACCCTAATAATTAACATCCGTTATAACTTTGACAAAAAGGCTAAGAGAGGCGCCAATGAAAACTCATTGGTGTGCTTTCTTAATCTGATTGAAACATAGCTTAGCTCCAACCCCACCGAGGGCTAATTGTACCCATACAGGAATAGAACAATTACATGATAAAATCGTTATGACATTGGTCCCGAGACTCGAACCTGTGACCACTTGACTTTGTAAGGATTTTCATTGTTCACCCATAACACCTTTGCCACCAAACCCCTACCCCTGCCCCTTCCCCCAGAGTGACTATGTTGAAAAAGAAACACTCCATAATAAGTGGCACTTCTAATTAATAAAGCTTGTTTTCTCTCCAAGACCTTAGCTCATGGCATATCTCATGGAACTACTTATTATATGACATGCACCAGGAATAAAGATGTGTTTCATGCATTTAAAAACAATGATTAGTATTGGCAACCAACTAATCGTCTTAGTTAGACCTTTGTACATGTGAGGAGGGGAGCCATTGCCAACTGCCTCCACATGCCTTGCATAAAAGCAGCTCACTATTCTATCTCTCAACTGAAATATTCACGAGCAATGTTATGTAACTCAAATTTGTAACTTAAATTTGCATTCCAAATGAAGGAGGATTATTGAATCAGTGGATCTCATTTAAAAAAATTGATGGGACTCACTCATCCAACGATCCTCTTCATTTGTGATATAAATTTGAATTACAAATTTAGGATACATAATATTTCCTAATATTCATAGTCTTTCAATGGAAACTTTTATGGCACGGGTACCAAAAGTTATGATTTTTTAGATTAATTTATAAATTTTTTAAAGTGTAAGTTATAATTTTAAAGGACGTGATGGATCATGATCTTTCCTTTTCAAAGTTATAGTTTTATTAATAAAAAGTGATAACTGGCTTAACATTTAATTTTCAAATAGAGATATAATTACATGGATGAGTGTTATTTTTGCAAACAAAGTCAATTGCTTAAATGAAATTGGTGGAAAAAAAAAATAGTTGATAAGGGTTATTGTCGTGAGACTCCTAACCTAACCATTCCCATGGATTTGGTACAAAAAAATATCTAATAAATTTTTTTCAGTAAATAGTGTTGTTGTTCGTCTCTTTGCTCGGGCTAGTTAAAAATTTGGACTTGTTTTCGGCATCTAGTGCCTCTATTTACATAAATTAATAGTGGTAATTGATCAAGTCTATATAACATTTCTCTTTACCTAAAGATTGGGTCTCAGTTCTTCCGACTGATCTAATCTTTATTCTAATTACTAATCTTTATTATAATTACTGATTGTAATATTGCTCATATTGTTTGAATGAAATTCAATTTCTTTGTTAAAAAATGAAAAAAAAAAAAAAAAGTGGTAAATTTTGTTGGTACAATATTTGATTTTTTTTTTTTATCGGTACCATAGTTAAGTCCATTATAATGACCTAAAAAATTAAAAACGACACCATTTAATCTTAATAATTTAAATTGTCTATGATGTCTTGCAGACGAGCCAGACGGTGGCCTCTAGACATTTGAGAGTTCTTGGTTTTTTGTTACTTGACAATTTCCAATTTCCAATTTCAATTTAATTTTCCACAATATCATTCATGCTATATTGTGGGACAAATTACAACTGACCCCTTCAATTATGATATTTTGTTTAACATTATCTATTTAAATATCAAGTTTCTCACATTGCACTTTTAACTATGTTATTAATTTTATCAGTAAATTAGAAGGGGTACACTAAATTGGGTTTAATTGTAAAAAAAAAATTGTAAAATAAGGAAATCCTTAATTTTAAATCTTAATTGTTTACAAGTACATAATTTAAAATTTTTAAATTTTCTTTTGACATTTGTGTCATCCCTTAAATCATACGATTATCTTTGGACACTTTTTTTTTTTTCAATTATATTTATGCATTAAAAATCTCCTAATTTAATGGAAGATTTGATTCTTCTGTTTATTTTGAGGATAAATCAGTTGATTTGAATTTTAAATTTTGCAATAGTATCATTTGTTGTCTTCTTCTTCTTTGGCAGCCTAGAAGCAATTTATCAGTGCAAGTCCGAATTATTATTTTATCCTTATAATTCAATCTAAATAATTACAAGATTTGAATTCATGACTCTATTAGGTTTATGTTTGTCATTTTAAAGGTGATTATATTATTTTTTTATATGCGAACACTATAACCGAAGTTCATTATGTATATGCGTTTGCAGTGTAACAATAATGGTGTAAAAATTTACGTATACAAAACATTGTATTGTTACATTTTGTCAAACATATATTTGCATATAATTTCATTTTAACATTCCAGCTTTGTTTTGAATTTGTTACCATATTCACAAAATCACTGAACACTGTGTTACAGTGTTACACTGTATTTGTTACACTATGTGAGAAACATAGATAAAATTACATCTGCAATGGCGGACTAGTAGAATTATTTTTTCAAAGACAAAACCCTGTAGATATTCAGAGAATAATTTAGGGCTTCTCGTCGAGGAAGATGAAACAGTCTTTGGATAGGAAGAAGAAGTGATAACCATTTTCCAAAGATGAAGTTTTTTGCGAATTAATGTTCCTAAAATATAGCGGTTAAATCTTATCACCGTGTACTTAAATAATTTTAAGATATATTCCTAAAATCGTTTTTAAGAAAGTAATGTTCCTAAAATTCAGCAGTTAAGCCTTATCACTGTGTACTTAAATTAATTTTAAGATATATTCCTAAAAACGTATATAGAAAAGTAAATTTTAGAAAATAGATAGTTTAATTTTTATATCTCAGCAGTGTACTTCTTTATAACACATTTTTTTATGCGTATTTTTTTATAATTATGTCTAATTTAATATACGGACTTCCAAATAACCCTAATTTTATATTGTGATAATGATTAATGTCAATTAGAAATTGGACAAAAAAAAATTCTATTTTGTCTCCCAAAGTATGTGCTATGTTTCACTTTTCCCCAACACGTGTATAATTTCTGTGTAAAAAGATAACAGACATCTGTGATATTGTAAAATAAATTTAAGTAATTGAGAGGATAATATAAAAAGTTCAATAATATATATGGGGTAAAGGTAAATTGTGTCCATAGTTGAAGAGGTTAAAATGTAGTTTTACTTTGTGCATGTGTGTGTGTGAGTGAATCATTCCCCCACCCAATTCGTAGGGATTACGGTACCTGATTCTAACTTTTGATATCGTACCAATTTTTTTTTTTTTTAAGTGATAAATTTTAACCCAAAATGTAGTCAATGAACCTAAAAAGTGAATGTATCATTTTACCTAAAAGGTGGTATAGATACCCTAAAAAATGATGATCGAAACGATACCGATTTTTTTTTTTTAGAACTGCCGAGGTATTGCACCAAGATTTATAACTTTTCAATATGACGTTATAATCTTTTGAGATAGAAGTCACAACGGTAAAAATTGTAACTTCTAAGTATAAAGTTATAATTCTAAATGTCAATTTACACTTTTTACGGTGCCGTTAGAACTGATAATCAAGCATAAATCACTATAAATAGATATAATTTCACTTCAAAAAATAATGACTTGATTTCAAAAAATAAGATATAACTTGATTTGAAGAAAATATTAACTCGATTTCAAAAAATAATAATTTTTGATACGATATTAAATATTTTTTTTGGATATCCTAGAATTACCCTGCACTAGTTAACTTTTGATGCATACACCCCATTGTCGCATCAAGTAACAACCACCACATGGTCATGCCTTTTCGAAATACTTTAAGACGAAAGTCTTGTGCTGTTGCATCATGGATTCAACCATATCGTTTCCCCACTCTGCCACCATAGGTCCAGCTAATTTCATTATTTCTCAAATTTTGTAGGTTCATTTTTATTTTATTTTTGTTACACAGATATCTAAATTTGTGCTGACTACTCGCTTAAGCTTTGAAACTAATTACTGTAGTTCGGGCTAATTTAAGGACATATCATGAAGAACAAAGGTGACTGACTCTTAAAAGGTGTGAAAAATATCGAACTTGAGACGTGATCGTTGAACCATCCTCAAAGATTAATTTTATCTGTCCATTCTAGTCTATAAACCATGCTGGCATATAGAATCCTTGCTCCACCTGTTTTACACAGCCTGGAAGTCATCAATAAATCAATCATAAAAAACTATCAAACCAAATTATAGTAATCCCCACCAGAGCAAACTCGATCATTTTGTAGCTTTCCTGTCTTTCTTATCTTTTTAGTCTTTTAAAGTTTGGTTCCCCTCTTTCCACACTGTTCTTTTAAGCAACCAACCATCCCATACAGCCTGGAAATTTGCTTATCCAGACTAGTCATCAAAATTTTGCTGGGACATACAGAATCCTTGTTCTACCTGTTCACACATCCTGTGGAATAAATGTAAGCAGACCAAACCTCAGAAAGAGCAACCACCAAGAAAAAATAAAATTATCTATACAAGAAGTCAGAGCATAAAGTACAACGGTCCAAATAGCTTATTAGGTCCAACGGCTAATCTTACAACTTACATGGTAAACATTTTAACCATGTTAAACTGTCTAGTCCGAACACAAAGAAACGAAATATATATTCATCAATGACTAAAGTAAAAGAACATGATATATACATCTGTTTTCGCTTTCCTCTCGTCTTTCCGATTAAAACACCCTCACCACCAACACCACCACATGTTCTCCACCTCAACCTCTTCACCAAACCAACTAGTTAGCTTTAAAGAATCCAATCAATATACAACAGCTCTATTGTTTCATGTTTTGTCACAATGGATACAATATGAAGAACAAACAAAAGATCATACATACAGGAAAAATCAAAATTTTAAATGTATTCTTCAGTGAATAAAAGGACAAACAGTGACCAAACTTTCCTTTTACCTCCTGCTTGATATGGTGGGTGCCCTTTCTTTGTTTTTAAGGATCTTGATTCTGCTTTTCCGTCATCTACAATCTGTTGAATCAAACGTGTCTTCAAATCCAGAAGGCTTTGAAGGAATGCTTGAATGGGTTTGACTGTAAGACTGACCACCGAACATTGTGGAAGTAACTTCGTCAGCTTGCCATCTTTGAAGGGCTTGAGGAAGGCTCATGTGGAGGTCAATGCCATAGCTGCTTTCTTCTTCTTCATGGCGAGAAGGTTTCCATTGCTCTACGAGGGGACTCAGTATGTTAACTGCATGACCCATATCTGGTCTCTGAAATGGCTCGCGTGCAGTGCAGTGACCTGCCAGCTCAGCCACCCTGCAAATGCTATTAAAGGTTTCCTCATCGAGGTCAAGGGATTGGTCAATAGCCTTTCGAATGTTGTCCTTGTTGACAAGCACCTTGCGGAACCATGTGACCAATTGAGCCCTCTCATCTGGCACAGTCTCATCTAATGCTTTTCTACCAGTGATTATTTCCATCAATACCACTCCAAAAGCATAAACATCCACCTTTGTAGTCACTCTTCCAGTAGCTGTTAAAAAAAGAAAAATAGAATTAATCAGATATAAATTAAATAGCTCTTTGAATATGACGAAAATTGATCCTGGGATCAAATTTGAGCTTACCAAAAAGTTTAAAAGTCCGCTAGAAACAGACAGTTAACCAACAACATAAAGATCTAGCATACAATATCAAACATGTAACAAAAACCTAGGCAAATGAACTACAATGTATGCCATCCTAAATCATGCAGACACTGGTTTCAAGCCAGTTTAGTTACTAGAGGTCACAATGCTGGTTCTAAATTAGAATCAGCTGGTTACGCGTTGGCTCACACATAGATTTCAGTACTTGATGCTCTCAGCATAATCATCATGACAACCACTATGACAATGGCAAGGTCACAGATTTTCACAAAATGTGGCAACAAAAGCTCGACAAGGATTAAGTTGTCCCCCCTCCCCCAAAAAAATAAAATAAAATAAATAAAATAAAATAAAAAGAAAGGAAATAAGATTTGATGCATAGGAAACTAGAAGACATTGGTTTAGAATTATATCGTCAATGAGATTGCATGTTTGACACTAATAGGGAACCAAAATGCACGTAAAAAACATGTCATCAATTATCCACATGATGTAACTTCTTTTCTTTTTTCAACTAAAACTAGATGCTATCGCCATGGACACATTTCTACCAATGTACTACAACATCTTCAGCAGAATCATTTGATAGGTAATTGCAATTATGAGAACTTTCGAAATCCAATTTCTGAGTAACAAGGTTCCCACTAAAACAAAAAGAATTTCATTATTTCCAATTTCCGGAATACAAAAAAAAATTTCTTCACTAATTCAAGTCTTGTTTTATTGATTAGAGAAGTTAATGCTAAGTTCAAATAAAGGGCAGAATAGGAGTACACATAATTACATTTTAAAGAGGTTGTACGACTTGTGTCAATGTAATTATGTCAAAATAAATGAGCAATATAATTCTTATTACTAATTTACTATTACCAATAGATATCATATATATGCAAACTCTGAATAATCTTTGTGAATGAAATAAAAGGATTTTTCACTGACCAGCATACTCGGGTGCAAGATAACCAAATGTTCCTGCCAACCGTGTCTCAACAGAGTATTTCCCATCAGGTGCATTTTTCACCAAACCAAAATCTGCAACCTTGGCTCTCATATCATCCCCAAGAAGTATGTTTGAGGGTTTTAAATCTCTATGAATGAAACTTTGTTGTGCTAAGCCGTGTAGATACTCAACCCCCCTAGCCACATCTAATGCTATTGTCGCTCTCTGCTTCCAAGTAAGAAGAGGGAGCCCATGTTCCTGCCGTTCAAACAAATGCTGGCTTAAAGTCCCCTGTGGCATATACTCATACACCAAAAGCCTCTCGTTTGGTTAATAGTATATTAAAGGGTTAATTACAAAATATTCCTTTCAACATTGAATAGTTTGTCATTCATCCCTTTTAAATTCAAAATTTTGCAATTAACTCCAACAGTTAATTTTAAAAAATGACTAAAGTTAGATATGAAAAATTTAGATGATCTCTATTTTATTAAAAAGACACAATTATGTGTGCACATGCACATGCACATTAGCGAGTGTGTTGATGTTGGGTGGAGGTAGAGGCGAAGGTGAACACTTTGTTGTTTAGTTTCTTTGTGTTGGGCTGAATATATATATTTTTTTTCTTGACTTTTTTGTTTTCTTATTTTTTTGGGGATAGAATTGGTATCTCAAAAAAAAAATGAAAAAAATAATGTACAAGATGAAATATTTACTGGTACTTTCATTTTTCAACCATTTTTGTCAGTTAATATAATCTGATTGAAACTTAGAAGGAATAAATTATAATATTTGAAACTATAGTGAACTAATTGTAACAAAAGACAAGGGACAAATTATAAGGAATCCTGTATTAAATGAACGGAATCCTCGTATAACTTGAAATTGTGTATTACTTTGAAAATTATTTGGCCACCCTCCTTCTAATTTACTATATTTTCAAGAACATTCTTTTTATTTTTAAATCTTTACTAATACCCCTGTCAATGTGTGTCCGTGATAATGGAAGAAATCAGTCTTTTACCTTTATACCCTTATGTTTGAGATTGATGTACGAGCATCTCCATCCAACAGATGAAAATAAATTCTATAATTTAAGAAAATTAATATTTTCTTAATCTTGCTTTCCATCAAATATACAAAAATGAACAAACAAAACAAACATATATTATACACAAATATATGAGTTCATTTATAGGATCTTGTGAAATACTAGTTAACTCGAGCACAATCCATTTAATTAATCGTGTTGTGTCAATTGATCTATTTATTTTCATGTCGAGTTCATATTGACTCATATAACATGTGAATAAAAAATTTAACACTAAAATTGAAGTTTAATATTTCATTATCTCTTTAATCGAACTTGCGCTCATATTTTTCATAAATTAAAAATGAATGATCACATAAAAATTACTTGAATGTTTGATATTGGACTTCAAATTTATTATTTACAAAATTTGGTGTTTTTGAGAAAAGCTTGCATGACCTTAACACTTTTGCTTAACAGACCAAAATATCAATTTTAATCCTTAAATTGTTGTTCTTAAGGTAAAATTGTGGCCATTAATGCAAGTTATCCTCTTGAGAGGTGTAACGAATGCGGGAAGCGGTTTTATGATTTCACCAATGAGGGTCTATCAATATGGTCTTTGGGCGCTCTTTCTTACCCCACCCCCACCTCTTTTTACAATAGCCAAAAAAAAAATGCAAGTTATCCCTAAAGGCACACATCTCAACTTCTCATCATATCTCTCTCGTAGGATAGGATTGATACCTATGTTAGATTATTTCTCCTATTTATCCTGATCCACCAAGCTCAAGTGAAACATGAGATTTGTAGACTTCCGGACCAAATTGACCGTATTTGGTTGGTTTATCCTCTATGATATAAAACAATTACCAGTACTGGTTCATCGTATGATATATAACAAATAACCATACTGGTAACAGGAGAGTTACTAAAGAGCAGACATTGAGGGTTCAAACTCTCTTTTTTTTTTGGCTATTGTTCGAACACAAGGATTGCAATAAATAATTCAGACTAATTTTATATAAATGAATAAAATACAAAATTAAATGTGAGATAAAAACACTATATATTATAATTTCATGTTTAATAAAATCTTGTTGTCCAATACTTGCTAAGAGAAGCTCGATCATACGAATTTAAAAATAATTCTTAACATTTTTGTCGTAATTTAACCACATTTCAATATAAGTTTATCCCAAAATATTACAACTTTAAGTAGAATACCTTATACCTCATTCGATTCCATAGTCTTGTAAACCATACCGAATCTTATCCTAACCTTTCTAGAACTGTTTCAGATTTTTATGGGAAGAACCTGCCTCCTTGACAGCTTCCATAGCCAAACCTTTCCATTTTATAGCATTCTGTCTGATCACTTTCCCTCTCTCTCCACCTCCCATCAAAGTGTCCAAACACCTCCTAATCTCTTCTCTCTCAACCATATCCTCTTCATTCACTGCTGCTCTCAGCCCCGTCTCCCACATGTCCTCCAGCAGCTTTTGCATTAGTCATCTGGTCCGCCATGCGTGGGCATCCCACCACTGGCACACCGGTGACAAGACTCTCCAATGTCGAATTCCAACCGCAGTGTGTCACAAAACAACCTACGGACCTGTGATGTGGATAATCCGGTTGTATCAAGTCGAAGTACGAAAAAGGCTAAATAATTAGGTTAAAAAATAGTTAGTATGAATCAGAAACCTGACCCAACCCCATAACTCGACCCGGATGGAGGTGGAACGGAAGTACCAACATATAATTAAAATGAGAATAAATTCTTTAAGATTAGTTTGTAAACCAATTATTTATAGTACATTTTTTTTAATTTGACACAAATACACATGTTTAGTAACTTAACCCTTGTCACTCACCTTGGGTTAAACTGAATGGGTCCCATTTGACTAACCCCTAGGGTTAAATTAGAAGCAAAAGAACAAAAAAAAAATAGACAACCGAGTGCTTCGGTATCCACTCCAACGCCGATTACATATTCGGCTGAACGCTGATTACCTCTTCGCCTTCCCCGGTCAAAATGGATAATGTAAATTTTTCCATTATCCATTGTTTTATATTTATCTTATGAAAAATATGTGTACCTAAGTTTTTTTTTTCTTATATTTAACTCCCCAAAAAATTGTTATATTAATGTTGGGTTAGTGACAAAAAATGTCCCCTTCAATTTTAGAAAGTTTGTAACTCCTTCTTTCATGTTTTAATTTCAACAAATAGTCCTTTTAAGTTTGAATATTTTACAATTAACTCAAATAGTTATTTTTAGACAATAAAAAATGACAAAAATTAAACATGTCAAATTCACGCGATCCATACTTTGTTGAAAAGATATAATTACTCTTACACTTACTTTTTCCACTGTATCAAATATGCATACCAAATATTTGTACTTTTCCGGTTACTTTTACACCTTTTCATCCTCCCCTAATTCGGATGGTCAATTCTCATTCCCTTCCCTTTTCTGGTAGAAACCCTCATTTCCTAAGATGAGGCAGAGGCAAATATTTCATTACTTTTTAGTTTTGGTTTATTTAATTTTTTAGGGACAAAATTGGAATTTCAAAAAATATATATATAAAATATAAAGTACAAGGAGGAGGGTGTAATAGTTTTTTTGGGTGTTCAACCATTGTTGTTAGTTAATTTAATCTACTTGAAACTTGGAATTGACAAATTGTAGTATTTGAAACTAGATAGAATTGATTGCAACAAGGAATTTGGTTGGAAAGGGTAAATTGTAATTAATTAACCCTTAGAGGGTGTTTGGTTTGAGGGATAAAGGGGGATAAGATAAGTTGAATTGGGTAAAATAATTTAAGGGCTCACAAAACCCGGCTTTCGATCCAAAAAATAGAGTCGGATAATCTTTGGCTTTGAATATATTGGCCCCTAGAGATCAGAGCCTAATATCCCTTCTCAAGCGGATATGTGTAACTCATGGAGTATGTAGGATTCAAATTTTGCTCACAGGATTGATCGACATTTTACAAAAATACCTGTTTTTCTTTTAGCAACTATTTTGTTTTAAAGAGGTAAAATAAAGTGGTACTAGACACTTGGTGGAGAAGTCTTTGAATTTTCCTCCATCTTTCGACAAATTTTTAAGTTTGTCATTATCTATTGGAGTGATATGAAATAAAATTGATATTTTATGGTGCAATATAAAAAATTTTATAGATGATGATACAAATTAGTGAAACAAAGATAATAGTTTCGCAAGGTAAAGTATAATTTACTCATTGTGGTTATTTGACATTAATCCTAAAATTTATGCTTGATCATACAACTTTAAAATCATTCTTAACTCTTTTTTTTATCATAATTTAACCTCATTTCTTTATAAGTTTACCCCAAAATATTACAACATTAATGCTCCGTTTAGTAAGAAGGATGAAAAATAAGAAGGATACATTTTCTATCCTTCAAGGATGGAAAGTATAAAGAATACATTTTCCTTCCTTCGTGTTTGGTTGGATGAATGAAAAATAAAAATGATCATTTTTTTTTTTGTGCTGGCTAAGATTAGGGGTGACAATAGAGTCGAGTCGTGTCGTGTCAGATTCGTGTTGAGTCATTACGAGTTTGTGTCGAATATTAGTCAAACTTAACTTAACTCATTTAATTAATTGTGTTGTGTTGAGTTACGAGTCGACCTATTTATTATCGTATCGAATTCGAGTCGTGTCATCGTGTTGAGTCAAAAATTTTCACCCTTAGTTAAGATGGAAAAATATTTTATTTTAATTTAAATTTAAATTTTTAATTTTTAATTTTTTTATTTTTTTAAAAATTAATTTTAAAAATTTTTTTAAACTATATATACATATTTTACCAATGTATTTTTATATGAAATTAATGTATACATAAGATATATAGACAAATAAGATACATTTCAACACAAATAATTAACTTTTCATCCATTTTCCTTTCGATTTTGGAGGGATTGATTTTGGTGAGTTGAAAAGAAATTTAATTCATTCACTTTTTCATTTTTCCTACTTTTTTTCCTTACCAAACATGATATTTTATTTATCCCTCCAATTTTTTTTCCTTCCAACTTTTCATCATCTCATTTTTCCATCGTACCAAACGAAACATAAATAAAACACCTCACTCGAGTCCATAGTCCTGTGAACCACACAGAATCTTATCCTAACCTTTTCAAAAACTGTTTGAGATTGTTGTGGGAAGATCCTCCCTCCTTGACAGCTTCCATAGCCAAACCTTTCCATTTTATAGCATTCTGCCTGATCTCTTTCCCTC